TGATGATGATGTTTTTCCCACCGTACCCCTGTATTCACACTTTCGCCTATTTAGACGTTCTGATGTATAGTGGGTTTGTTTTTTTCTTGTTTTTTTTTTTTTTTTTACTTTGCACATATGCATAGCAACCACTCACAGTGCCAGCCTTAGTTTATGAAGCTGCTCTTATCTGCAGAAGGAAACCAACAACTCACCAAGACTTTTCGGCCGCTCCACCCTCTCAGCACCTCTCGGGACGACGCGCTGCAGCCGATCAGGCGACTCCCATGTCGATGGCTTACAGCTGAGTGGCGGAAAAGATAACTAACTATCACATGCTGCAAGTTAATGTGTACATAAGCTACAATGACGCTTCTTGTGGCAAGGCTTTTAAAATTTGCTTGCCACAGCTCATTCACTGTGATAAAATCATATTCGCTTTTATGGTTTGTTGTTGTTGAATGTCGAATCACGTGCCACAAGATGATTCACTATTTTAGTTTGGCTGTAAAACACAGTTCGGTTAAAAAAAACCCCCAGCAATAACAACAAATGGTGGTGTACAATACATTGTATTACCACTTGTATTTTTGTTTTTCTACCCTTACAAACAAGTAGGATTCGTAGAGTAGGTCAAAATTGCCACACCACTATGAACAAAAACTGATAATGGCATACTAGAAGAATTTAAAACGAGCTATTCCTGCTAAAGGTTGTGCTTCATTTTTCCATTTACAGTTTCCATCTTTTTCCAACATGACCAAAACACGGCTGGATTAGGGCTGGGGGTTGCTCTCTTCAGAGTTGAGGTATGACCCTAAAAATTTTCCAGGCAGAAGCTCATAAGAAAACATTAATCAGATTTCCTTGTTTGGCTCTTAAGAGGCCACTGGAAATATTGTGCAGACTGAATAGTGCACCAGATTTCTTTGGAGAGATATCAGTATAAATATGACCATGAGGAAGTCTGTGAATAAAACAAAATAAAAAAATAAAAAACTCTTGAGCAATTTTGTTCCAAATGAATATGCCAACAAACTCATCCATTTAGAAATGGAGCGCTCAAGTAACAAGTACTTCACCGACTTCCGGTCATGTCGTTGTGCTGAACGAACGTGCGGTGGAGCCCTCTCCAATTTCCTTCTAAAAAACTAAATTAACAACCTGTACTATCTTGCTTCTCGTTTCTTTAGTTAACTGTACTAGTTATCGCTGACCAGATGGCACCAAAGAACACAAAACCAACCTCCAAAAAGGCTTTAATAACGTCTATGTTGAGCCCAGCGCAACAGTCTAAGAGTAGCAGGCTAGCTAGCGCTAGCATGGCCTACAGCGACGGGGCAGCTTCTCCCCCAGTTGGCAGTGGCTCTTCGGATATGCCTCCCGTTAACAACGAATCCACAGTCACAGATGGTGATGGACTGGCGGCCATGGAAGCAGGTAGCACTAATGACCTCGTGGCGGCTATTAACTCGATGAAAGATGACTTTGTGAAGAGATTTGATAGCCTGCTAACTGCTATCCAGGGGGTGCAATCGGATATAAGAATTGTTGCCGCGCGTGTTACACAAGCGGAGGACAGAATCAGCGCTAACGAGGATTCTGTTGCTTCCCTGCAAGCCGATAACACTGCTACGAAAACTACCATTGAAGCTCTGCAACTAAAGATAGACGACCTGGAAAATCGTAGTCGCCGTTCCAACCTCCGTCTCATCGGTCTCCCTGAGGGGTCTGAAGGTTCTGACATGTGTGCATTTTTGGAGAAATGGCTGCCTGAAGTGCTTGGTGCAGAAACGTTCCCGATCCCGCTGATCATTGAGAGAGCACACAGAGTCGGGCGGGTTGACGCTGCGGGGACACGGTCCAGAGCGGTGGTCATGAAGCTGCTGAACTACGCTGACAAAGTCCGGATCATGAAGGCTGCCAGGACGAGGGGAGAAATACGTTTGAAGAATAACAGAGTCATGTTCTTCCCGGATGTTTCTGCCGAACTTCTGAAAAAGCGCAAGATATTTGACCAAGTGAAAAAGGATCTAGCTTCTATTTCTCTGGAGTTACCGGAGCTGCGCTACGGTGTTGTTCACCCGGCCACACTTTTGGTGACCTACAAGAAGAAACGTCACGCTTTTGACAAGGCAGCAGAAGCGGAGTCCTTCGTCCTGCAGCTCCAGCGGGAGCGAAATCTGGTTACGAACCAGGTAGAGGTCCAAGAAAGGTGAACAATTATGTGACATTGTCTAATCATATCTCACTATGTATGCAAACATGGTCACATATCTGTAAGTGCACTTCTATATTCATGTCTTTTCAATTCTTTGACTTGATGGTTTATAATGGTTATTAATGCATCTCTATTTTGTGTTTAATACACATGGTCAATTCACAATATGGTTAGGGTAACCAAGGTTAAGACTTGCAAATGTGTTTTATTTTCATTATAGTTTATTGGTTGTTAATTTCATCACTGATTATCTGGGGGCTGCGGTTTGATGGGGTTTTTCTATATGCTGTTCCTCTTCGTCATGAGTGCTGGGGTGGACCAGCAGGGCTTCATGGCCGAGCCTGGACGGCTCCTTGGGAAGTGTTCTCAGTGGGTTGGGTGGGTGTACTTCGTTTGGGGATTTACACTCTATTGTCTAATTGCTGTTTGTTGTGTCTACACTTTCTTGTCTTTATCCGTCATGTTTTCCCTCTGCAGCTCACTCTTTAATACACATACCATGGCTGAAATAATTTTTCCTTTTTTCTGATGGCCTCTGACCTTCAATTCACCTCTTGGAATGTAAGAGGTCTGAATAAACTTGTCAAACTGAGACAGGTGATGAAAAGGATTCAACAATTAAAGGCTAAGATAGTTTTCCTCCAGGAGACTCATTTGACCCCTGATGATGTTAGTAGAGTGAGGAAAAGATGGCATGGTCGGGTTTTTTCTACTTCCTTTAGCTCACACTCGAGGGGCGTAATCACACTAATCCACAGCTCGGTGCCATTCCAGCTCATCAATGTAACTGAGGATCGATATGGCAGATATCTAATTGTACAATGTGTGATTCTGTCTGTGAAACTAAATTTGGTCAATATTTACGGGGCAAATAATGATAACCCTGCTTTTTTTAGACACCTGTTTCTGTCTGTAGCGTCGCTTCCTGGAGGGTACATCATAGGAGGCGATTTTAACTGTACCCTCATTCCAACGTTAGATAGATCTACAGGCAAAGACATCTCTCATGCTCAAACAAGGAAAGAATTACTTAACTTTATGAAAGAACTCAATTTGGTTGACATATGGAGAAATATGCATCCTAATCAGTTTTCTTTCTCATGCTATTCTGGTACTTGCCAAACATTTTCAAGAATTGATTACTATTTAGTCTCAGCTGATCTAGTTCCACACATTACTAATAGTTGGCATGACAGTATAGTAATATCTGATCATGCTCCGGTGTCATTCTGCCTTAAGGTTCCTAATCTTTCCTTTTCATCTAAGTGGCATCTACAATCAATTTGGCTTAGGGACCCAGATTTCATACAATTTATTGGAACAAAAATAGATATGTATTTTGAATTGAACACTCACCAAACCTCGGCTACGGTGAGATGGGAGGCCTTTAAGGCATTCTTAAGAGGCCAAATGATCAGTTTTACCAGCTTCAAGCATAAAACTAACAAACAAGAATTGGAACAACTAGAAAAATCTATTAAAAGCATAGAAATACAACTATTTCATAATCCTTCAACCCAACTAAACACAGAACTTCTTAGGTTAAGAGCTAAATACAACATGCTGTCTACAAATAAAGCAATTAAAAGTTTAATGAGACTGAAACAATCGTATTTTGAACAAGGTGAAAAGGCTAGTAAGTTGTTGGCTTGGCGTATCAAACAGGAACAAACAGATAAAGCAATAAACTCAATTCAAACAGCTGAAGGGGTGTTTACATCTGACCTAAAAGAAATAAACAGCACGTTTTCAAAATTTTACTACAAATTGTATAGCTCAGACTACTCAGACCTAGCTCCCCAGGCACAAACTGTTTTCTTGGATTCATTAGAATTTACTCCCCTAGATAGTGAATCCTTAAAATCACTTGATTTTGAGCTCAGTGCACAATTATTATCTGAGGCTATTTCCGGTTTGAAAGGTGGTAAGAGCCCGGGGCCTGATGGAATCCCAATTGAAATATATAAAATTTTTCAATCCAAACTGATACCTCCTATGCTTGACATGTATCAAGAATCCTTGAGTAAAGGATCTCTCCCTCCCTCACTTAATACAGCAATCATCTCCTTACTCCTGAAGCCAGGTAAACCTGCAACTCAATGTAGCTCCTATAGGCCAATTTCTCTTATTAATAATGATGTTAAAATTTTGTGTAAAGTGTTAGCTAGGAAGTTGGAGCTACTCTTACCCATGATGGTCCACCCTGATCAAAATGGTTTTGTACAA